ATATATATATATATATATATATATATATATATATATATGTATATATATATATATATATATATATATATATATATATATATATATATATATATATATATGTATATATATATATATATATATATATATATATATATATATATATATATATATATATATATATATATATATATATATATATATATATATATATATATATATATGTATATGTATATATATATATATGTGTATGTATATGTGTGTATGTATATTTATATTTATGTGTGTATGTATATATATATTTATGTGTGTATACACACATAAATATATATATATATATATATATATATATATATATATATATATATATATACACACACATAAATATAAACATACATACACACATATACATACACATATCTATATACATACACACATAAATATATATATATATATATATATATATATATATATATATATATATGTATTATATATATATATATATATATATATATATATATATATATATATATATATATATATATATATATATATATACATATATATATATATAAATATATATATATATATATATATATATACATATATGTATATATATATGTGTATGTATATGTATGTATGTATGTATATATATATATGTATATGTATACGTATGTATGTATATGTATGTATGTATGTATATATATATATATGTATGTATATATATATATATATATATATATATATATATATATATATATATATATATATATATATATATATATATATATATATATAATATTTTCAAAATTATTTTTTAATTATCAGCCAACTAATTTAACCTTTCATAATTAATTATAAAACAAAATAAAACTTATTATTTATCAATCAACTTATTTAACCAAATACTTTTTTGAGATGGTTCACCTATATAAAACGGCATATAAAAAATTGAAATAAAAAAGCTCTCTATTTATACAATTTTTTTTAACATCAACGCTTATCCTAACCGTATAGCAAAAGCCGCACCTCAGCAAGTTTCAACAACGCATTAAATTGAAATTTCGACATTTTCAGCAAAGATTTGAGCAAAAAATTGATTTTTTTCTATTGGATTTAAAGTAGGTATTCCGTCTTTTTTAAATTCGATGCAAAAACTCAAATACTTGATAACTGGCAGGGTTCTGATAGAAGCAAGACGGCTTACTTACCTTAAAAAAGTCGACGCTGAAACTCTCTCCTTTGCTTCAACAGTTTAAAAAGAGCGCTTTTATCGTGAAATCATTAACAAACAAATGTCTCATATGCTTTTAACAAACAAATGTCTCATATGCTTAAACTTCTTCAACAATCGCGTTGCTTACCCATCCAAGGTTCTCAGTACTATCAGTGTCGACTGCTTCAAATCACAGTGCATCATCTTCTGTGTAATCAAGCACAAGCTAACATGGCTTACTGTTCATGGACTTACGGAATACCCCTTCCTCCGTCTAATTCAACAGCTATATCCCACTTTTTTCGTAAAAAATATTGTATAATAAATGATAAAAATAGAATTTAAAATTAATTTTTTTTTCATGGGCATTTTTATTCCGATTGCTAAAGTTTCAACCTCAAATACAAAAAATAAGATTTCTTATTGTCTGTTATTTATATTTATTGAAATGTATTATTAAAATATTGAAATTATTATAAATCAGCATTGAAAATTATTTCAATGCTGATTTATTATTACTACTACTTGCTCTTTCTTAACTTTTTCTCAAATTAATATTATTTTTATATCACTATTCTATTTCAAACTCTCACTATTATAAATATTGCTATTTTTATTATTGTTATTATTATTGTTGCTATTGTTATCATTGTTTCTATTAATATTATTGCTATTATTATTATTATTGCTATTATTATTATTGTTATTATTGTTATTATTGCTATTATTATTATTATTGCTATTATTATTATTGTTATTATTGCTATTATTATTATTATTGCTATTATTATTATTGTTATTATTGCTATTATTATTATTATTATTGCTATTACTAATTGAATTGTTATTTTTATCGTTAGTTTTAATTATTATTTTGATTATTATTACCAATAACTGTAGTTTTTATTAGTATTACCTATTATTATTACTGATACTTATATTACTATATTATTTATAATGTTGTTACTGTATATTATTATAATCTACTTCTCTTTTATTGCTCTTTTAATTAGGTATATAAAAGTCTTATATTCTAGATAGATATATAATAGTAAATTGAATTTTGTCCTAAATTTATCAAATTTCTTACTTGATTATTATTCCATAAAGTTTTTTGTACTGTTTTACGGTTGTATTTTTTTTGTTTTGTTTTGTTTTTGTTTTAGTTTCCTATTATGGTGTTTACTAAAAATTAGTACTTGTACTATATGTATATATTCCATGAAATGTAAAATCTATTTCAGAATACATTTGATTTGATTTTGGGTCAACGGGTCCAGCGCCCCTTTAAGCCTGGCGCCCGGGTTGATTTGAACCCTTTTCCCTTCCTCTTGAAGGCCCTGATAATATTATTTTTAAAATGTAATTTTAAAATTGTCTACACATTATTAAAAAATGTTGTTGTTTTAACACTTTAAGGAGACACTGTTGTCATATGAAAACAAATAAAATAAGCTTTTTTTATATTTTTTATTTGTTGTCATATAGCTTAATAAAGAGTTTAATACTAGTATAGAGTATAGACACTAAAGAAAACACAAACAAAATATATTTTTTAATATATGGTAGCGCTTTTCTTCGTCTTCTGGCGCCCCAAATATCTCGGCTCCCAGGGTCCGTAATGTTTTTTCTTATTACACATTTATTGTAACTAACGTCAAATTAGTAAATTTGTCAACAAGAATCTTTTTTCAAAATTCTTTCTTTTTACATTACCATTAACATTAACTTCTTCCTCGTCCAAAAGAAAAAAAGATTTTACTATCATAGATGATTTTTTAACATTGAAAATTCCGGAAATATTTTTTAATGAGTTTCGTTAAATCATGAAAGTATTAGAGATTTTCAGGCTATTTCAAAGTAATAAAAAACAAAATAAATAAAAGATTTATTTTTAAATCTAGTTTTTAAATATTATTTAGATATTTATAATGAGCCTTTTTTCCAATTAATAACTCTTTTTTTTTTTAAATAATTTTGGTTGGTTTCTTATTGCATAACGGGGTTTAATTCTTATTACACAGCACTAATGCATACTTTATTTTTAACCCTAAATAAATAGTATTTGTAAAAATCTGTATAAAGGTACCAATTAAACAACGTCAAGAGATTGTTCCGATCATATGAAAAAGTTTGCATTATTAAAAAACAACCTCGCCATATTGCTTTACTGCTGTTTATAGCAATAACGCGTAATATGAAGTGCTCTTTATTATATTAATACTTGACGTTTTTAAATACGTTAATTGAATGATGTTTTTTAAACTCTTTTTTCTCGTGGAATTATGAAAAGTTTGCCCCCTGAAATAAAGGACATGCGAATTTTTTAACAACAAGCAAATATTAAAAAATATCTGATAAATTATTTTTATAGAAATTGTTATTAACCTCCATAAAAGTGTTATTCAAAAATTTCTTAACAATAATATTGTTAACCTCTACAAAAGTATTATTCAAAAATCTCTAAACAATGATATTATTAATAATAGCAATCTCTACAAAAATAATTATAATAATTAAAATTTTGTTAATTAATAATAACTTATTATTATGACATAATTATAACATAAGCATAGACCAGGTCATAATTTAATGTTGTTCTTAAAAAATTTAATAAAAATTACAAATTATAACCGTAATTTTTTTTTCTTTTCTATATTTTTTCTTTTTCTTTTTTTTTTTGTTGTTGTAGAGAACTAGTTTATTGCAATCTATCTATATAACGATAGGTAATGACAATCTGAATATAAATATTTTTTGTTTGTACTGATATAGCCTATATTATATTGTACTGATAATATCAGTGCAATATAATATAGGCTATATCAGTACAAACAAAAAATATTTAATTGGGGAAATGAAAAAGTCAAAAAACATATATAAATATATAATATATTTATTTATGTTTTTTGACTTTTAGGATTATTTTAACTAGAAGGATACTTAAGAATATACTTTTTTGAACAGATATAGCCAATAATGTAGGCTATATAAGTACAATATAATTTAGGCTATATTAGTACAAACAAAAAATATTTAATTGGTGAAATAAAAAAGTCAAAAAACATATATAAATATATAATATATTTATATATTTTTTTTACTTTTAGGATTATTTTAACTAAGCAGGTACTTAAGATTATACTTTTTTGAACAGATATAGCCAATAATGTAGGCTATATCACTGATATATTATTGGCTAAATCTGTTCAAAAAAGTATAATCTTAAGTACCCTTCTAGTTAAAATAATCCTAAAAGTCGAAAAACATGTATAAATATATTATATATTTATATATATTTTTTGACTTTTTTATTTCACCAATTAAATATTCATATATATATATATAAAAGCTGTAAGCTAATTTTTTTTTACTAGTTTGTTTTACTGTGTAACGCTCTCCTGTTAAGTTTTTCAATGTGATATCTTTTCAAATTTTTACATTAAAATCATAAAAGACCATTTAAAAATGAAAAGTGTAACTGCTATACATGAATGTAGTAATTTTGCACAAGTTTTTTTTACTGCAAAAACATGCTTGTAATTATGTTTACCTTAAATTTTTTTGAAAAGAAAAATAATTGTAATTTTTAAGTTTAATTTACTTTTGAAATTTCAAAGCAACTAATTGGTTAATTCAAGTATTTACCACCCTTCATGCATTTTCTGTTCAATATTTATTTCAATTTTCTTTGATTGTACTGTTTTCTTCCTCAAATTTTTTTTGTTGCTGTGTTAAAATAACAATTACTGTTTGTTTTACTTCTACAGTTATTATTATATTTTGGGTATTTTGTTCTGAAAAGTTATTAATGAATTTAATACTATAGATTCGCAAGTATGGAGCTATAATGTAAATAATTTGAAGAGATTTTAAACTGATCTTTAATATTGAAGTAAGCAGCATCTTATTTTATGGCTAGCTACCCATCTACATTGTTAACTAGTGGCAAGAAACTTGTAAGTTCAAAAAGTGGTCTTCGTATGTTATGTGTAAATGATGCAGAAAAATCAGCATTTGAAATTAATGAACCAAATTGGCAGGTGGATTGTGAGGTATTTTTTTTTTTTAAATATTGATTTTGTTTAAAATTAAAAAGTTAAATAGTTTATTAGCATCATGAGAGCTTCGAATAGGTACAAAAAAACAACAATTTATGATAAAATTGTTTCTTTCTTTTTTTAAAATTCCATTAACCATCTTTTTAATCTATATATTACCCTACAAACATAGTTTCTTTTAAATTATTGTTTATTATAGTAATTTGAAGTAATATTTGTCAACTATGTTTAAATATTATGCTTAATTTAGTGTAAATTTGACTGTTGAAAAAAGTGAGCATTTGAGATATTAAGTTTTCAAGATTGCAATTATAAATACTTCTCTTATTTGCAAATATAGTTTTTGAAAATTTCCATAAAAATGTTTTGTGTATTTGTTTTTAATGTAAATTAAAAAGCAAATACACAAAATATTTCAACGTTTTATGGGTCACTAATGTAAAAAAGCATAATTATTATATCATTATATATTTAAAAATTTATAACATAATTAACTTTAAAAAGTTTTAAATGCTTCGGTGATTAATACCTAAAGCAAGTATTCTAAATAATATTTAAAATACTGCTGCTTGATTAATTACAATTGGTAGAAAAAGTTTAAAAAACATTTGGAACTAGATTTAAATATATGTGGAATAATGAACTTATCATGACACGCATAATACGATTCATAGTAAGTATATTCCACATCTCTATATTTATTCTTTATATAGTCGTTTTATTTCAATAATTTTTAGTAAGTTGTAAAAAATAAAAGTCTGTTGAATCTTTGTTAAGTTAACAAATAATGTTCAACACTTTATAACTTTTTATTTTAAAATTGTAAACTTCTTTTTAAAAACACAGGTACAGACATAATTTTATTTATTTATTAAGTTTTTTTTAGGTTTTTATTACATTTTTTTTCTAGACTATCTGCAGCTTATTAGAACCCTTCCCCTGTTAATTGATTTTGAAGGGAAAAAGGGAAAAACAGTTTGAATGTAAAATATTTTTTCTCATAAGTAAAAGAGTTGTTTCTTTAATGTGTTTTGAATGCGCAGATTATTAAAATTATTAAAAACAATAAAAAAAAAAAAAAAAAAAACTTGAATATAATAACTTAAATATCTTTACCATGACATATGCACAAAAAGTTTCTATCGCTGTTTTTACGTTTATTGAAATTTTAGGCTTTTTAAAAAACTCTTTCTCTTTTGTTTGTTATAGTATGTAATATTTTTATACATGTTATGCATATTAAAACAGTAGATTTTTAAAAATGATTTATTTTGTATTTTAGAAAATTGGAAAAAATAACTTCAACTAACTAAGGCACACTGCTTATTTTTAGTACTATTTACTAAAGACCAAACAAGTTTTTTATAACAGCAAATAAATGCAATAAATCAAAAATAAAGGGGTTTTGCCACAATGCAATTTTTAAATAAAAGTAAAACTTTATAAAAGTTAAAATATCTATAAAAATGTATTAAGTTCTATTTTAAAAAATCAAAAAAGATTTTTAAAACACTGCATTTTATTTCAGAATGCTGCAAGCTAACCACTTCAGCCACTTTGGCATATTGATCGGTAATGTTTTAACACTATTTAATAAACAAAAGATTTTATAAAATGGCAAATAAATGCTATAAATCAAAATTAAGGTGATGTTGCCATAATGCAATTATAAAGTAAAAGTAAAACTTTATATATTTTTTAACATTGCATAATTAGAAGTTTACATAAGTTAGATATTTGTATTCGTTCACATTTTCTTATAAGAAAAAAGGCTGCAACTCTTTCTTGTTAATAACTTGAGTGTAATGGCTGCCATGAGTTCCATGTTAAACACACATAAATAAGAAATGGCAGCAACATTAAATTCAATATTATTATACTATAGGTTAAAATTATTATCTTTGTATATATAAATTTTTTGCCAACCTCAATTAATAATATTTGAGGTTGGCAAAAAACCTTGTTTTTATGTTTTATGGTAAAACCTTTGTATTAAATTTTTTTTGCAAACCTTTTGAAAATTTGTACATATATCTTTGCACAATAAAAAGTTACTACTTTCAAACAAACAATATGCTGATGCTTTTGACCAGATCTAGAGTGAAAAACAGATTTTTTGAAAAATTTTCAGAAAATCTGTTTCACAGATATTTATACAAATTTTATGAAAATTTGTATAAATATCTATGCACAATAAAAAGTTACTACTTTCAAACAAACATTATGCTGATGTTTTTGACCAGATCTAGAGTGAAAAACAGATTTTCTTACATCCTGGAAGCATTATTAAGAATGTTTATAAATTGTTATATTTATTGAATGCTATTGTTTGTATTTTTTTTTTTTTTTACTATAGCAACCAGTATGCAATAAGTGCAGCAAAAAGTTTACATTCAAAATCAGAAGGGTAATTTTAAGCTTCCTTTTGGTTCAAAATTTATTTGCAATATTAAATTAGAATTAATATTTTATATATTATTTACATTATGTATTTTGGTTTAAAATATTTGGCTTGTGATTATATTACTTTATGTTTGTATTTTTATATTTTTATTGTTTTTTAGCACCATTGCAGAAGATGTGGAAAAATATTTTGTAGCGATTGCTGCAAAAATAAGTTAGCCTTACCGAGACTTTCTTTTGTTGATCCACAACTAGTTTGTACTGACTGCCTCCATGTGGCAAAAAAAGAGATTAGTCTTTATGAAAACTTAGTTCCAATACTAACAAAAGGTAAAGCCCATTTAAATGTGGCTGCAATGTATGTTTATATGTATTTATATATGTATGTATTTATGTATGTATGTATATATGTATGTATGTATGTACGTATGTATGTATGTATGTATGTATGTATGTATGTATGTATGTATGTATGTATGTATGTATGTATGTATGTATGTATGCAGTCCCTCGAAATTATGAAAAATGAGGTCGGCAATAATTTGCCGACCTCAATCCTTTGAGGTTGGCATCAGGTCAGCAAAAATTATTTGATACAAAGGTCTGACCATAAAACATAGAAATAAGGTCGGCAATTTTTTGCCGACCTCAAACACTTTCAGGTCAGCAGTTGGGTCAGCATTGCCGAATGCCGACCCTAATTCCGAGGATTGTGTATGTATATATGTATGTATGTATGTATGTATGTGTGTATGTATGTTTGTATTTATGTATGTATCAGGCTTGGTTGGAAAGTGGGTGCAATCGCACTTGCTAATTGACCACGGAAATAATATTTAGTTGCGAAAAACCGGCCAGATTTTTTAGTCGTTTTGAGAATATTTCAAAAACAAACAAAAAAGCGCAATAAGATTAACTGGACGGATGAGAGACAGTTTAAAAAAGCTTTAATTTAACTAACAATATTTGTTTACAAATAATGTTAGTTTTAACATTATTTGTAAAATATATATATAATATATGTTTTAATATTATTTGTTTACAAATTATAAATATAAATATATATTAACATCAAAATATATTTAAATCTATAATATATTTACAAAATGTTGACAAGTTAAAAAATATAAATTTAAAACATTTATTTTTGTAAACAAATAATGTTAGTTTAAAACTAACAATATTTGTTTACAAATAATGTTAGTTTTAACATTATTTGTAAAATATATATATAATATATGTTTTAATATTATTTGTTTACAAATTATAAATATAAATATATATTAACATCAAAATATATTTAAAACAAAAAGTTTATACGCTGCCTTATTAATCAAACTCATTAAACATAAATATCGTATAACAAGAAAATGATTTTTCCGCACAAAGGTGTTTGAAAGTGTTCGAGTTTATGTATGTTTCCATTTATGTCTGCAAAACGAAATATTTTAAAATTTATGATAAAATAATGAACTTAATTAAGGAAACATACATAAACTTAAATGTTCTCAAAACGACTAAAAAATCTGTATGTATTTATGTATGTATGTATGTATGTATGTATGTATGTATTTAAAACCCAGATTAGCAATTAATGGAGTAAAATAAATAAGTAAAAATATTTGTTTTATGACGTCTACCACCTGCCTAATACTAGACTGTAAATCTTTGCATTTTAATAAGAAAATATTTTTTAAATAAGTTTACAGTGAAAACTATGCATGGTAGAGGTTGCAAAATTTATTTTATAAAACTTGCTAATGTATTTTACACTTTGCTGTGTATAAGAAAGTTAAATAATTTGATTGGTTCCTCTCTATTAAAAGTAGCTATCTGATGCATTTAAAAATAAATTCTGCAGTATAAACTATACCTGGCAGCATCTGCAGCAGTTGGCATTTAATTGGTTGCAAATATGTTGTATAATTATTTATACGATATTACAAAGCTGCAAGCAACCACTTGCCATTAGAGTTGGAAGTTACTCAAAGAGAAAAGATAAAGTTTATAAAGCAAGATAATGATTAACAGACGACTTGAAAGATTGCAAATAGCATGAATCAGGAAAACAAGATAAAGAGAGTGAATTCCAAAGAACTGATGTTCGAGGGAAAAAACTAGATAAGTACAAGTCTTTGGAGCACTTAGAAACAGTCACAGTAAAAGGATTAATTGAATGATGAGTAACACGAAAGTGAATTTTAGTAGATGGCACAAGAGATGCTAGCTATTTAGAGCAGCGTCCATTATATTATTTATAGAAAAGAAAAAGGGAAGCAATATTACAATGATGTGACAAAGGTTAAAGGTTTGCTGCTAGAGCAGCTCTAACTATGTTTACAATGCGGAAGATCAGAAGTAAGAGTTAATCCAAGAAGATGAAGGGTAGTTGACTCATTGAGTACATTATTATTCATAAATACAGAAAGATCTAGATTATTGCAATAATGATTAGTTGTAAAAATTTTAGTTTTATCTGAATTAAAATTCATCAGCCACTGAGAGCCCCATGCTGCAGTAGAAGTGAGATAATTTTCAAGCACAAAAGCCCCCTCCAAACAATCGGAGAGTGTTGGCTTCTTATCAAGACAAGAATAAATGGTAGTATCATCAGCAAACAATTCTACCTTAGTTAATGTAAATTAAATTGTTTATGTAAATTTAAAAAAGTATGGGGTCAAGGATAGAACCTTGAGGAACCTCTGAAGTTACAGGATATGAAGAAGAGTGCTGTCCAATGAGGACAACTTTTATACTGCTATTGGTAAGGAAGGATTCAATAGTCATAAAGATGTTACACCATGAGAAGAAAGTTTATGGAAGACCAGCATGTCAATCTTAATCAAAAGCTTTAGAAATGTCAAAAGCAATAACCTTAACCTCTCCACATCTTTCTAATGCACAATAAAACCTACCATTTACAAATCAGTAATAGAACTCAGTAATAGAACAAGAAGATCGAAATCCATATTGATGATCAGAAAGTAAGTTATTAGATTCAAGATGAGAGATTAAGTGTTTGTTAATTGAAGATTCAAAAACTTGCTTATGATAGGAAGAAGACTAATGAGACGGTAGTTAGACGAGTCAGACCACTCTCTACAATTTTTGAAAATAGGGATAACAGATGTCGCTTTCCAGCAAGCTGGAAAACAAGACTCTGTTAAGCATTTTTTAAATATTTTTGAAAGTATAGATGACAGCTCCAGAGAACACTTAACAGGTATGTTGTCCAGATCACAAGATGTAGAAGAGTATAAGCAGGAAATCATTTAAGTGATGGAAATGTCAAGCAATGAATCAACATGTTTTTCAACTATATAAGGTTGGATGTGATTAGTGGAATCAATAGATTTATGAAAAGTTCTCAGCAAACCAATTAGTTTCGTCTTTAGGTGAGGTAACAAAATCTGAACCATGCAATAAATTAAATAAAGGAGGAATGACCAGACACTGTTAAAGATTCTCCAGAAGTAGAAATCTAATTTTTTGGTTAAAATATGAGGTATTGTGACCTGAGAATAGAAAACATTAGACAAAATCTTTTTATAATGGTTTTTAGCAATAGTAAACAAATGTCTGTTTTCTGGAGAATTGTTTAGGTGTTCAGGGTGTAAACTAGTCCTGTGGGGCCCCGTCAAACGCGGCATTCCCAAATGCTCACAAATTAAAATTCCCATTTTAAAAGTGAAAAAATCCTATTCTCCAAATAAAGTTTGTCTAATTAAAGTTTAATAATAATTCAAAAAATTATTGAAAAAATATTATTAATTTTGGCGCTGTCCAATCAATGTATGCAGTGCTAAAATGAAGTAGAAGAAGAAAGAATATAAGAAAAGGACCTCACCATTCCCGGTACACATTTTAATCTCAGGGGAGGTGGATGGTATATTTGTCAAATTTTTTTAGCAAATTCCCAATTTCGTCAAAACGCTATATCAAATTTACTCCTAGTTAACACCCTGGTGTTGATATAGAAGTTATGATTGGAAATTGCAGCAGCACAATAAAAAACATGAAAATGAGTGAATTTGACTTGGAATTGTTGAGAGGGGAAAAAAGACTCCATGCCAGCTGAATCTAAAAAGTTACATAAGAAGCACAATTTTTGGCAGGAAGAAAAAGTTTTTTACCCAAGAGTCATCACAAAGAAAATCACGCAAAATGTCCCAGTCAGCTTTAAGGTGGTTGTAAGAGATACAATAATAGGAGGATTCTGATGATGAAGAAGAATGAAATAGTAGTTTTAGAGAGAGCAAACTGTAATCAGAAGCATTTGAGGGTGAATGCAGAGAAACTGATCATTGATTAGGATCAGAAATAAGACTTAAGTTGATTAGAGAAGGTAAATGATTTGGATTGTCTGGAAAGAGAGTTAAAAAGTTGACTATTTGAAGGAGAGCAATATAGAACAAAGAGAAAGATGATAGAGTGAAGTGTTGCTAAAGGAAAGCACATAAAAGAATAGTCTGAATTTAAACCTAGTTATGACAAATGGGTGAATTCCTACAAATTTCTATTCCTAGGTCAAGCATGTGACTATTGGAGTCTTTGAGAATTAAAGGAAGTTAACCATCAACACTAATATCTCAAGATGAGACAGCTGAAATCAAATTAGTCACACAAAGAGCAAGCAAGTCTGCTGAACTTTGCTCAAAGACTCAACAAAAGAAAAGTTACTTCGAAGACCACAAATATTAGTACATGATAGATTTAGAGAACTTGGTGATGACTATGTTTTTTTGTGTTTTATAGTTTTTTATACTTTAGTCATTTTTTAAATTAGCTAAAGAACTTAACTCAAATCACATATTGTACTCAGTATACTATCTAATAGTCCAAGTAGTTTCCTCATTTCTATTAATAAACCCTAAGCTGTAACAAAGAGCTCCAAAAATAGGCTTCGGAAGTGCAGACTAAAATAGCTTATAACTTTATTGAAAATGTTCTGAATGTTAATTCATAACATAACTGCAGTGTTTTACTAATTCAAATTATTATTTTCATTCTCTATTCAATTAAAATAAGTTTTTATTATTTAAAGATTTTTGTTGATTTTAAAACTTTATTTTAAATTTTTATATAATTTTTTAAGGGGACATTTTATTTGATATTTAGGTGCGGAGTTTCTTGCAAAGGAAAATCAGTCTGTTTTTTGTAAGCTCGACGTTAAATCATTGAGGTTAAGCTTCATTACTTGTAATTTTAATATAATGTATTTAAATAAAAAATGTCTTTATCAATATTTATTCATTATTCAATTTATGTTATACTTATTTATAAGTCTAGTAAATTAGTAATATTATAAATAATTTTATTGTATAAAAATTATTGTAAACAATTGTTTAGGTACTTAAACAATTGTATACAATAACTGATGTTACAATATATGATACAATAATGTATGTTAATGGAAAAAAAAGTTTACAAGGATACAGGGTGGTGAAAACTACCTATATATTTGAAGGTGTAATAACTTTTATATTTGATGGTTAATTATTACTATTATTTTTTAGTTATACAGTATGTTAATGGGAAATATTTTTGGCCTAAGTGTGAACAATTATATCCCACAAGTGGTGGCCATTTTTTGGCTTCGCACATTCTTGCTCTTTCCAATACATTTTGCATAACTTTTTGTAAAATGTTAAATGTTATGACTTGAATTTTATTGTGAATGTTTTGTTTTAGCTGTGGTATGGTTGCTGGCTTATTTACATATACCCTTTCATTAAAATAACCCTAAAAAAAACAATTAGCGCTGTTAAATCTAGTGAACGTGGAGGGTAGTTGAAATCACTTCTAAGCGAAATAATGCTTTTGCCAAAAAGATCGCGTAACAAAGCCATTGTGTCCTTTGCAGTGTAGAGTGTGGCTCCATCTTGTTGGAACCATAACTGTGGATGGTTTTCTACTGCTAGCTTCAAAAATTGTCCAGCATCTTCGATATTCAGCACCATTAATCGTAACTAAGGTGTCATGTGCATTTTCAAGAAAATATGGTAAAAAAAATATATAATCATTGATCCATTCAGACAATACACTGCACCAAACAATACACTTAGAGAGACTACATGTTGTGTAGTGTTCCATTTCAAATTCTTTTCACAAAATTCTGAAATAAAAATAAGAAATATAAATGAATTTAAAAAGTTATTAAACATTCAAACCATAATGGTAGTTTTGTGCCACCCTGTATTGGTGTTTGAAATATGTAGAGTAGTCTAGATATTCTAGTATTTTATAAATGTTTGAACAAAGTACATGGTTGAAATTTTTTTTAGAGAATTGGTTTTTAACTGTTTATCACCAGATGGATATCTAGAAGGAGTTTTGTTGCGAGAGATTGAGTCATTCCAGTGTTTAACTGATCCATTGGAGCAAAATGTTGATGGTAATTTTTTGGTCAAATTTTTTTTTAAAGTTTTATGCAATAGCAACTGTGAAATACAGTGAACTCTCGATGTCTCGAACCTCCAAGGAACCTAGAAAATAGTTCGAGTTAGCAAATGTTTGAGCTATCAGGAAATTCTATTACAGGAACTTTTGCCAATAAGTAAAAACAATTCGAATTATCAAAAGTTTTGATCTCAAAGGTAAAAATAATACATTATAAATTAAAAAATGTTTTAATGTCACTCTATCTTAGTTCTGAAGAAACGACTCTATCGAATATAGTTGAGAATGCATTGAGCTTTTGTTAAAAATCTTCACCCACAAGACTGAAGGGTATATAGTCATACAACACTTGCAGTGCCTCTTAAATATCACTAACTTTTGGGCAAGGTAGATTGATTGCATTATCATCATCATAAACTTCCTCGTCAACAGCATCATTTTCATATGCTGCATTTTTAACTTCTTCTATCAATTGTTCATTTGTAAGTAAAGCAGTACTTAAGCTGATTAAGTTTTCATCTGCAAAAATAACATCTTCAACTGTTGTACCTGGAGGGTAAAAATTATCAAGTTGTGGTGGAGGTTTTCACTTTTTGCCATGCAAGATCAAGCATTTTCATTGCATTTAAAATCGAAAAAACAGGATGATCTTTTTTATCAATAGCCTATGCAATGCCAAAGATCTTTAATAAACTATTTAAAGAGCGTATAACTCCCTTAGCCATTGGTTGAAGTTTAGACGTGGCATTTGGTGGTAAATAAAATCAAGCTCAATCAGGTCTGTAGCAACAAGGGGGTCAGGGGCATTTCTCCCCCCCCCCCCCCTCCTTAATAAATTAAAACAAAAAAAAGTCCTTAAAACTATTTCAGGGCTCCTTAATACAGCACTGCCCCCCCCCCTCCTTAATATAATTTTTGTTTCTACAGGCCTTTCAAAAGATTTTAGATTATCAACTGTCGGGTGATATATATGGCTTTTAAAAAACCATTTAAAAACAAGATTATCTAACTTTGAAAATATTCCTTCTTTAATTCTCATATATTTTGGTTCCCTTGCGTCTTCATATGTTCAAAAATATTTTCTTGATTTTTGATCCATGTTGACAGCGTATTTTTAGGAATGCCATATTTCATAGCAACCTCAGACTTTGGCAATCCTTCTCCTATTTCCCTTAAAACATTGTACTTTTCTTTGATTTTTATTGATTTTGTTTTCAATTTTCTCTTTACAATGACAGTAGCCATAAAAAAATGTAAACAACAAATTTTATTATAATATTGTGACGCACGTTAATATAACTTATATTATAAACTAAAATATCAAACTATTATTATCATTTGCATTGCAATGAAAGGGCTTCATTGCGGTTTATTTTGTATTTTTGCTCTAAAGTTTGAGTTATCGGAAACATATTTATTATGGGAACAGACAAAATGGTTCGACTTGTTCCAGCTAATAGGTGATAAAATAATTCAAGCAAATAACAGAAAAAATGGTTAGAGCGAATGTTCGAGGCAACGGGTGTTGGAGTTATTGAGTTGTTTTTATGTGAAAGTATTAGTGAGGGTTTAAGGGGAACTCAAAAGTAGTTACTGGAAGTTCGAGTTATCCGGGATTCGAGATATCGGGATTTCAATGTATGTTTAAAAGGTTCTATACAATTCCAATTGTGAAATGTTTAACAAATTAGGTGTTGGTCTTGTTGGAGTCAATATAAAATACAAATCAGGAGTAGAACTCAAAACTCTAAAGCTGATGGTTCCAAATAGCATTATCAATCGCAAAGATGCTGTCACTTTTTTGCTTACGCTACAGAAGGTAAGTTTTTGTATAAACATTTAAATATGATACTATTTTAAATAAATATATGAGCGTGTCTTAAATGAATCGGTGAATGTTAAAAGGGCAGAAGTCCAACAATGTATATATTCGGGAAACTAAAAAGAACAGCACTACTTCCTCAGTAAATTTTTGTTTTTTAACAAATTTTTTTCTGAAGGGGATAATGTTTTTCTACTTAAAAGCAAACATATTTTTTTTATATTTATTTTTAAAGAACCTATAAACCAATTAACACTGTGGACTTCAGCCCTTTTAACATTTAACAAGTAATTTCTGCTTATTTTATTATGATTTTAATTTTGAGCTATAAAAAATGTCATAAACTGCAATAAATCTTCACAAAGTATATATTTATGAATTGTTTATACATTTTAACAAAGAAATACAAGAAAAAAAAGGTCTATTACAGAAATTTTATCAACTATGTTTAATCATTTTTCCCAACATTTTCTGTTTCCCCATCATTGCTTTCTGCTGCAGGCTATTGCAATAGTTCATTATAAAAGTAATATGATCATGTGAGATATATTTAATACACTTTCTTAAGTCGTTTTATTTAGCAGATTTTATTGGAATCTTTCCGTTTGGGTAAAGAAGCTGTTCTAGCAGGATCACTTTGTTTTGAGTATTTTTTCTTTTCATAAAAGTATGTTTGACACTACCATTGATAATTTCACTGGTTTTACATTGAAACCTATGTTGTCACAATCGTATTGAAAATGGTGAAATTTGCTTATTGCAAACTGAGTTTGTTGGTTTCTGGGTTTACCCATTGTTTCGATTGAGGTAACATTTCTTTTATAGAGGACTGGCCACCAACTTTTAACTTGGTAAACTAGAGATGAAATCTCTACATCAACCACAAAAAACTTTATTTGATTACTGCTTTTTAATATATTTTTTTTAATTTCTTGAACGCTGTACACTCTGTCACGCCCTCTTAACTCTCTTTTTATAATCAAAAAGTCACGGTCATAGGAAAAAAAGCTATGACCGCTGATTGGGAAAAATTTATTGACCTTCTTAATCCACTTATTGTCAGTAAGTGCCATAAAAAGTTTTGAAAAGCAATGGTTATAACTTTTACCTTCACAATTAGCGGCATAAAAGTCAGTAATGAAGTTTCTAAGAAAAATCACCTCACCTTAATGAAGTTGCTAAGCAAACAGCAGTAACTGAGTTACTGCTGTTTGCTTAGCAACTTCATTAAGGTGAGGTGATTTTGTCTTTAGCTTTAACTCTTTGCATGTGCGGCAGATGTCTTCTTGATGTTGCCCGAAACGTGAATGAAAGTGTTCATTGTAGTAGTTATATTTAGACTTGTAACTGAATCAACTTAAATCACTATTAAAATGATCACACATTATAAATCAACTTTATTCACCACGCTGTTGTACAATCAAACAGGAAAGCGAGGTTACATTTGGTCCGCCGTCTTTAGCGCAAAGTTTCTTGTTTTTTGTTAAAAGGGCTGAAGTTTGGACTTCCGCCCTTTTAACAAAAAACCAAAACTTTTAGACACTGTACATTTTAAAGAAAATTTTTGACAGACACCTTTTTAACACTAAATGGTGGTGCTATCCTTTAAATATAGAAATTTGCAAAAAAGTCAATTTTGTAAAATATGTGACTTCCGGCCTTTTAACATTCACCGATTCAAATCTATTCAAAAATAACACAGGTTTATTTAATGTACTTTACTTCTCAATGTTATGCTTTTCATTTAGGTTGTTCGACTCATTTTTGATTCCAGTTAATCTTGTTTAAAAGATTTTTAATTATTCGTTGATTGAAAATTGATTTAAATATGATTTTGTAATAAAAATATTCTTTTAAAGTAACAATGTTTCATAGCATTTATAAATGCAATAAAACGTTGATATGTTTTAAGTGCATTTATAAATGCTAAAGATTTATTTTTTTGTTTATGCTTTTTTTTTTACTGAAGATTAAATAATATACTTATAATATAATATAATGTTTATTATGTCGTTTTTATGTAATTTTATATTATGGAATATTTTTAAAACTTATTTTTGTATTTTAATATCAAGTTAAAAAGTTTTTTTTTTTATACGCGTGTGAAAGAAACCGTGTGTATTCGGAGTTGTTAGTCGTTTTTACAGTTCTAAAGTGAGTTTTTAATTACAAAATTGGTGTTTAAAATTAAATTATTTTTGGGATAAACATGGGTGTAACCATTAAAACATGGGTATAACTATAATATTATTTAATTTTTTAACCGTTTTTATTACAAAGAAATTTTTTTTTAATCATTTTTATTTTAAAACTTTTTTTTATTTAATCTTAAAAACCCACGTCTTTTTAAAAATGGCATTTTCAAGTCCTTTTAAAAACGCGTCAGCATTCAAAATAAAATGAAAATATCAGAAATGTTGATATTTTAAACCTTTTTGACTACCGTGACAAATTTTTACAATAAAGTTTACAAAAAAATGAAAAAATTTGCTAACTTGACTGCACATTCGCGAAGATTACAAAATAAAATTAAATAGGCTGTTCTGATAAATGTTGCATTATTAAATTAAAAGAAAAAATGTTTTGTAATTAAAAATATTTTTAGGGCTGTGGTAATCATCAACCATAATCAACCAGGGCGTAAGGCGACATCATACTATTTGCATCTGAAACTGTGAAAGCTTGTGAAAGTTTTAGGACGCCCTTTTTGCGGCTTTCTTTTTATCTTCTTTGTTTTATATGATCTTGATCTAACGTTTGGAATTAAAGGGTATTAAGTAAAATTTTGTTTAAAAAATGCTTTTAAAAATTCTTATAATAACAGAAACTTGATTGCTTTTTTATTCTTGGTAGATAAGATAGCCTGGGTACTTCGCTCTGGGGCCGTATTAATGGTCAAAGTGATTCATCAGTAACTTTGATTAATTGCAACAATGTGATTTTGTATACCCTCTTTTCTACGCCGTCTTACTGTTTTTCCTTTACCTAACTTTTTTACACCTAGATAAACAATAGCTGCAGTTAGACTATCTTCTAACTCATCATCTACGTGTTGATTCCTTTATCAATTGTACAACGGTTACTTCAAATGTAGCGGTATAATCACCAACTCTAAACTTTTTTTAAGGTTAGATACCATGTTTATAGAGACCACTACCACGTTTTGAGACGGGTTGAGATGGTGAGTATATTTTTATTCTAGTTAAATAAGTCTGTTTCGCCCATTCTCTTATACCACGGTCGTTAAGATATTAGTAAAAAGCGCTATGTTTAGGTACGCATGCGTAAGAAAATACGAACTTTTAAAATGGCTATGGTTCTTAGGCTAAGAACCTTAGGCTAAGACCTAGCTACAGAGAATATTTTATATGGCAACAGATTATTTGTTAATAAATTTCTAAAAAGCCAATTATGTAGCTTTATTTTTAGCGTAAATCAATATAACACAAAACTTTCACAAAAATATAAATAAATAGATGTAACAAAAATCTTTGCGCGCTTAAACTGTATTTTTACTTACTTTTTTAGTGTAAATAATAGATTTGTTTATTTATTTGAAATCAATTTTCTAAAAATCTGACTGTAGGATTTCAATAATTTTTTTTTAAACTTCAGATAAATATGTTCTATATGTATGATATTTTTCTGGTCATTGCTTCAACTTTTTTTCCATATAAAAATTTGTTTTTACTGTTATGACTATTTCCTTATATATCAAAGGGCGATTTCATTCATTATTTTGTTAATTACTATTTTTCTGACTATATATATATATATATATATATATATATATATATATATATATATATATATATATATATATATATATATATATATATATATATATATATATTGTAACAAAAATAATATGAGTAAAAAACAATTCAATATATTAGGAAAAAGTCATAACAGTAAAAGTAAATTTTATTATCAAAATAAAGTTGAAGCAATGACAAGAAAAATATCACCAATATAAAACACATTTATCTAAAGTTAAAAAAAATATTATTTAATTGGGTTTTTCCAAAAAGATCATTTTTGAACAATATATGCCTAATGTATTTATATAATAAAAGAAACTGTTTTTTAAAAATTTTTAAATAAAAAATATAATTTACAAATT